TTTTTTTGCACCCTCAGATTCCAGATTTTCAAATAGTTGTATCTCAGACAAATATTGTCCGATCATAACAAACCATACATCAATGGAAAGATTTCAGATGATGTATAAATCTCAATTTCACAAAATTGACCTTTATGACTGGTTTTGTGCTCCAGGGTCACATATGATCCAGTAAATCTGTCTGGAAGGAGTCTGAAGAACTCTGCTGCATGAGAGCGTCACGTTTGATCCTCGTTCCCTCGTTTGTTTGATTAAAGTACGTCTCGATGTTGATTGTGTTTCTTGAGAGCGCCAGGCGTCCGCTCCGTGCTTCTCCTTCACCTGCAGCATCAGACAACAGCAGATGCACTTTTTCACTGGAGGAAGAGTTATTATGGATTATGGACTCTATGGTATTTGCGTTAAAAATGTCTTAATGCTGGATTTGTTTCAGCTTTTGTCTTCTCCAGAAATTAACTGATGGACTGGAGTGCTGTGGATTACTTGTGGATTATTGTGATGTTTTTATCAGCTGTTTGGACTCTCATTCTGACGGCACCCATTCACTGCAGAGCATCCATTGCTGAGACACTGATGCAATGCTACATTTATACAAATCTGATGGAAAAACATCTGTTCTGTATTTGTACCTGTAGATCGGCCTGTAGCCACACATACTGTCTGAAGAGCAGATCCAGGCCGTATTCCAGATAGAAATAGACTTCAGTGGAAAAGGAGATGATATGAGCGGGTCCAATGTTCCAGCTACACAAAGTTATAAACATGCTTCAGTTTTCAAAAACTGATTGTGCAAATACTAAATGTTTCTTCAGACTGGGAAAAACAATAATCCAACAAAGCAGAGCTGGATTCTTCATCCTCTCTGTGTTTAAAGCAGAACCTCAGTAGTTTTTCCAGCTTTCTCCCACAAGCACAGATATATAACGCTCGCTCAATTACGACGTTCCAGTGCAGAGATGATTCTGAGTTTTCCCAGAGAACCATAACAAACACACTTAACTGACTGTAATCTGCGCCTTATGACCTTTCTTAAATAGTTTATCCAGAGACATTATAATTGAGCTCATGTGAAGAACTACAGAATAAAAGAGGAATAATCTTTCTAGTTTTCTTTCATTATAAGTGGCGATTTCTGAGAAAAAACTCACAGCCTTTAAAAATTTAATCGATAAAGTGCAATAAAATAAACACATATTTTCTATCCACCAGTCTGAAAGATATGGAAGCTTGTATCTGCCACGGGATAAAGAAAAATAACAAGGTAACTGTGATTTTTTATCTCGCAATTCTGGAGAAAAAAGTCAGAATTGTATGTTATGAACTCAAGATATAAAGTTAGAACTGTGAGATATAAACTCAGAATTGTGAAATATAACGTCAGAATTGTGAAATAAAGTCAGAATTGTGACAAACTCAGAATTGTGAAATATAAACTCAGAATTTATATTATATTAATTCTGACTTTATTTCACAATTCTGACGTTATATTTCACAATTCTGACGTTATTTTTCACAATTCTGACGTTATATTTCACAATTCTGACTTTATTTCACAATTCTGAGTTTATATTGCACAATTTCTAAACTCAGAAAATAAATAAAGTCAGAATTGTGAAATATAAACTCAGAATTGTGAAATAAAGTCAGAATCGTGAGATATAAACTCAGAATTGTGAAATATAAAGCAATTCTGAGATTATATCTCGCAATTCTGTTTTTTTTTTTTTTTCAGAATTGTAGTAAAATAGTCAGAACTGTGAGATAATTAACTTTTTTTTTTTTTATCCTGTGGTGGAAACAAGCTTCCATAGAAAGAAAACAAAGCAAACCAGCTCAAGATCTCAGATGCTTGTCTTGAGTTTTAGCGCTCGTACCTGTACCACAGATTCTCCGTGTGTCCCGGCATACTGAAACGACTCCTGGAGTGGGAGAAGTTACTGGAAAAACAGACACAGACAGCAGCCATTAGTGAATTACACAGCGAACACATTCAGGCCTTCAAACGACGACACCAGGGAGAAACAGAAAAACACTAAACGCTCTCGTGTTTCACAGATTCATTCGGCTCATAAACATGAGACACGGGCGTGGGGTCACTGTCAGTGACCTCAGAAGGTGGGGTCAAAGGTCAAGAGGACACGGGGGTCAGGATCATTCTTTTGAGTTTCCGTTGTGCTGCTATGGATGTGCTGAGATCTCACAGGGGTCATGAGGTCAAGGCTAGGAAAACAACAGGCCAGACGTTTAAGCATAAAATACTTTAACACACCTCAAAAAACATCTCAATCCAAAATCAATCGTGTTTAACATAAATGTTTCGATCCAGAGGTTTGTGCTTCCCTCCAGTGGTCAGCACTCAAACTACTAACTAGTTCACTAAAAATCATGAAGACAATACAATAAGTTTACAGAGGTGACAAAAGCATGATTTTACAACAGCACTGATCTGAAGTTATGATCAAACAGAACGCCCAGATTTCTAGCGCACTGTTACATATAGCCACAGTCAACATCTAACACACAATTTTCCTTATGCCCAAATAGAATTATTTTGGTTTTATTTTCATTTAAATTTAGAAAATTACTTGAGAGCCAAAGCTTTAAGTTCTTTTAAACAGACCAACAATGGTTGTAAGCCATTTTTTTTTATTATGCTTTAAAGGAAAATAGATCTGCGTATCATCAGCATATAGACGGAAGGATACTTTATATTTGTTAAAAATGGAAGCCAGATGTAGCATGTACAGGGTAAACAAAACCGGGCCAAGGATTGATCCCTGTGGAACTCCGCAGTTAAGAGGAGGTCTGATGACCAATACAAACACTAAAACATCTGTTGGTTAAATAAGAACGAAACCACTGCAAGACTGTGCCACGAAGGCCCACAGATATCTCCAAACGTGTCAACAGCACCTCATGGTCAACCAAATCAAAGGCAGCACTCAGGCAGCTCATGGATCGTTGGAAGAAGTCGCTCTTGCAGGACGTTTTGATACCATTCTTTATTCCTGGCAGTGAATTATGAGAGAGCCCACTCCCTCGGTTGAAAAGCAACCCCACACATGGATGGTCTCAGGATGCTTCACTGTTGGCACAACACAGGACTCATGGTAGCGTTCACCTTTTCTTCTCCGAACAATCGATTTTCCAGATGTCCCAAACAGTCGGAAGGGAGCTTCCTCAGAGAAAATAACTTTGCACCAGTCTTCTGCTGTCCAATCCTTGTACTTCCTGCAGAATTTCAGTCTGTCCTTGACGTTTTTCTTGGAGAGAAGTGGCTTCTTTGCTGCCCTTCTTGACACCAGGCCGTTGTCCAAAAGTCTTGGCCTCACTGTGCGTGCAGATGCTCTCACACCAACCTGCTGCCATTCCTGAGCAAGCTCTGCACTGCTGGAGACACGATTCCTCAGGAGGAGACGGTCCTGGCACTTGCTGGACACTCCGGGACGTCCTCAAGACTTCTTCACTGCAGTCGAACCTCTCTCCTTGAAGTTCTTGATGATCCGGTAAATGGTTCTTTCAGGTGCAATATTCTTTGTAGCAATTTCCTCGCATGTGAGGCCATTTTGATGCAAAGCAGATCAGTCTGCTCTTACAATCTAATTAGTATGACAGTGATTTTACCTGACTAGTACTCATTCACACTTTCACATGTGCTACTGATATGATTAGTCAATTAATGTTAGCTGGTCAATGTGTGTCAGGATCAAAAAACAGTGAAATTATTATTTTTTTTTTTAAGTTCATTTTTTGGCCAATGAAGCTTTTAGCAATTATTTAAAATGCATCTGATCACTCTACACAATAATCTAGAAACAATGTGAATGAACACCGCAACAGCTTAAGCAGCAAACTTTGCAAAACACAAAATTGATGTCACTGCCAAAACTTTTGGCCATGACTGTACGTTTTGTAAAATCATCTATGAAGTTATATTAGTGTAAAAAAAAACTCAAATGTAAAATATATTTCACCTTTTCTCCATGTATCACACACTTTTGGACTGAATTTTGTTGATGAACATGAATATGTACGTCTATTGTTAAAGCACTGCAGCATGAAAAACTGATAATTTTTCTCATCTGAAAGTGAGAGTTTATGCAAGTAAAATTAATTTATTTTGTTTGAAAACTTTTCGGAGTAATATTTATGTTTTTTATGTTGTTTTGTTAGAAGTAAATATGTTTCATGAATTTGAACTGTTTTTGCCCAATCATGAGTTATAAATGATTTAATAATTTAATTAAATTCCATTCATGCCATTGGGGTTAATACTGGTAATTCATAGATTATATGCTCTTATAAATTTCATACAATGATGTATTCAAATAAAATTTCTCACTAATTTTGAAAAAAAATAAAAAAAATAAAAAAAAAATAATATATATATATATATATATATATATATTTTACATCTTAGTTTTTTTTGGAGTAGTTCATATATACTTTGAAATTTCAAAGAACGTATCCATTTTTTCATTAATAATGAGGTAAATGCAGTGAAAATATGGTAACATTCAAAAAATGTTCACATTCACTTATTATCGAGATGTTGCTGATCAGATACAATATGGTTTTATTTGAAAAATAAGTTTTACGTCTTTTATAAAATAACAATTCTTCAAGTCCAAACAGACCCGGAATGTGAAAACAGTCTAGAGATGCTGAATGCATTATGACGGTTAAACACAACTGGGGGAAAGCACATGTTACATAATAATGTCCCAAAGCAATCAAAATCCTAAACAAGACTTGTTTTGTATATGCAAAACATAATAATTGTATTTTTCTTTTGGTTTTGGTGTAAATGTGATTCGTAAAGCGTAACTGAATGCCTCCGGCCCGTTTCTCCGTGTTCTTTGGCTCTGCTGATGTTGTTTAGATGCTCTTGAGCAAATCCGGACATACGATTAAAATGACTCGCGTCAAGAAAAGTTTCCCAAAAATGTTCTGAATCTCCGCTGTGGAACAGATTCTTTCCCAGCAAGCAATAGCTGTCATTTCAACGTCTCGGTTAAGTATAGACCCGATATAGTCCGGCTATGTGTAACCCACTTCTAGCCCAAATAACCTTGAATTTGGTTTCATGTCGTTTTTTGGCAAAATAACTTGTGAGATGTATGATATTCCATCATGTAAGCAAAGTCAACAGCGTTTATAGGGTGTTTGGTTTCATTTGTAGTGGTTTAATAGCCGTCTAATTGATGACTAGTCTATTCTTGGGCTATGATTAGACGTCTATTAGATTTTCACTGACAGCCCAAATTTAGCCTCGTTTTAGCCTAGACGTCTAGGCTATATGTAGACGTCTAATATACGTCTTTTAAACGCAAAATTGCTTGCTGGGTTTGTTCCAGACGGCAGCAGCAGCGTTTTCATTTCTGCACTCTGTATCCTGGTTAAAATCTCCTGATGACTGACCTTCTCGAAGACATTAAAGTTCAGATCAGGTTTAGGTTAACAGCAGGTTAAACACTCACTAAGCCCACTCGTGGTTTCCAGGACAGATCATATACGGCGTGTAAGCAGCGATGGACTGGATCTGCTGCATTAACTCATCACCGATCCGGCCGTTATCCTGATTAAACACACACACACACACACACGCACGCACACACACACACACACACACACACACACACTCTCACACACACACACGTCTGGTCAGATCTCCTCGTGGGGACTCTCCATAGGCGTAATGGTTTTTCTACTGTACAGACCCTATAAATGTATTTTTCTTTTGGTTTTGGTGTAAATGTGATTCGTAAAGCGTAACTGAATGCCTCCGGCCTGTTTCTCCGTCTTCTTTGGCTCTGCTGATGTTGTTTAGATGTCGGCGGCTCTTGAGCTACTTTGATTAAAATTTAAACGCAAACAGAAAATAAAAAAATACAAATATTAAAAATATTAAAAGCATCTAAATGCCACTAACATAACACTGGCATATAAAACCCCCTCAGAGTCAAGGCTGTCAAGGCTGTGAGATGCTCTGTGTTCAGTAGCTCAGCTCATAATCACATTATGATGTAATATTTCAAACACACACTGTTTTAAAACTAAAAAGTATACGACTTCAACATTACAAGTTACACATGAGACGAGTGTGATGAAATAGTGTGATGAAATAGGCCTCATTATTGGTAATATAATTATTCTTATGCTCAGTTAACAATTAAGAGGTGAACCGTGAAACCTGACAAAATGAACACTTTTTTAACTAATTTAATGAACGCATATAAGCTGCTTTGGATAAAAACATCAGTAAATGAATGTAAAAGAAAGCAGCCCATCATCAGAAACCTCAGACACGACAAACTCAAATCAGATCCGTCTATTTTCCAGACACTTACACAATCAAATCTGAACTCAAAACAGTGATTTGGGGAATATTGTGGTCGGTTGTTGGGTTTCGTTGCTCTAGTGAGTTTTCAGATGCTCAGGTTTGACAGCTGTATTTGTGGTTTCTGTCTCCGATTATGATATTATGGGCAACGTTAGACAATCGGGTGAAAATGATGTCTATCATCACTTACATATTTGGATCATGACTTGATTTGACTGCTTTCTGTATGTTTGTGCTAAATATAGATGCCTTAAAGACACAGCAGCCAAAACTGTTCACTTGAAAACTGTTCACTTGAAAATAATCATTCTATCATGTCGTTCAAATTAACATGAAAGCAGAAAAAATGTCACTACATGGCCATCAGACTGTGTGTTTCTTTCCGTCATGCATGTCATACGCAAAATCCCCAGTGAAAACAATCACATGCTGTAAAGCAGATTCACCACACGCACAAGCAAAACACAAAACTAGAACTAAACCATCCAAACTATCATCACTGGGATGACAAACTAATCTGCTCTTACTCATTCAAAGGAGCAGTTCACACAAAAATGAACATTAGCTGAAAATGTGCTCACTCTCAGCTCATCCGAGATCAGGACTTTGTCACACGTGACTTTTCCATCTTGGCTTTATTTTTGTTAAATAAATAATGACACGGTGTGATATGGCATGTGCTGTTGTTCATCTGAGGCTTTATTTCCTAATTTTAAG